CCAACTCTATGATTCTATGAAGGCAATGTGTGGCACAGGCATGCATGGAGGAATCCATAACTGCTCATTAACAGCAGAGAAAAATTTCAGCCGCAAAGCTCTCTCTGCATGTATTCCATGCAGTGGCCTCTGGCTAGTTCAACCACATGTCTAGCATCACCCCTATATAAAGAGAAAGTATATGCAGTGTTGATATACTGTCCTGAACAAAAGTCCATGGGATATGATGAATGCTTCATCAAGGAAGTAGAGATTAGGGTCAATCTAAAGTTGCAGGGTCTTGGGTATCTCTAAGCAGACAACTGGCTCCAGCAAGGTCTGGGGTTAAACTGAAGCCTTTTATCTCTCCCAAGTTCTGTCCACTCACCTCTTTTGAAGCCTTAAAGGGATAGTCCTCTGGCCTAGAGCCCAGAACTCCACCAGCAATGAATCAGCTCCTACTCTGCACACTCAACAGGCACTGAGGAGCATGAGACCTATGTTGTTAAGGGAGCCAGTTTCATCAAGGGATGTCATCTCTGGGGTTCAATGTTCAATGAGGTCAAGGGACTTCATACAATATCAAGATGAGAACGTAAGAAGAACACTGCTGGACCTTCTCACCCAGCACCCAGCTTTCAGAGTGACCTATGGGAAGCCCATGAGCGGAGCCCAAGTGCAATTGCATTCTCCCCACCCACAATTCCCAAAAACAGATACTCAGAGGAAAACTGCCCAGTAGTTCTGTTCAGAAATAGCATTCGAACAGTTCCACTCTTCCGCCCATTAAATCTGAGAAGTGAGTGAACAGTGGTTGCTTTGCATTTGGCTCTTGAGATACCATCAAAGTTTTAAGAAGGACAGGAAGTTTATAAATAGTGTCTAGATCACATTGCTTACTGAAAACTGCTGAAGTAAATTCCCATCTTGAAGGAATTGCTCCTTTCATTGTAGAGTTGAAATTGACTAGGGGTTTTGATTTTGAAGCCCATTGTAAGTTCTGCTATTAAAGCGAAGGAGCTTCTTCTGATTTGTTATGTAACTGGTGGAAGGAAGAGACTGTCTGTTTCACTGCTGTCCGTCACAATCTTTGCACAAAATTATCCCATCTTAAACAATAATATTAGACATTATTTTATTTCTACTATAGTGGCTTGAAAAAGCAGTGGTGAAACAGATAGACAAGAAACCCCTTCACTGTAAAGATGGAAAATATGTAATTGTCATTTCCTTTAAATATACACAAGTATAAACACAGCTGGCCTTTGAAATTAGCATTTTTCTGAGTTTTGTAATACAGTTCTCCAAACAGAAATGAGTATGTTGTGCAATCAAGAGAGAAGAAAACGGGGGGGGGGGGGGGACCTTCTATCTTCCATATTGTTCATAACTCCAAGGAATATTATATTTGCACTCACAAGTTGTCATTGTTTTCAATATCACCCTGCTATAGCCGTACTAATTTACAGATCATAGATACAACCCCACCAAAGTTAAGTGCTTTTAAATCCCATTAAATCTAATGAGAGATTTTAAGCATAGCCTTAACACTTTCATTGATGTGAACAGAACTTAAATGTTCTTAATTTTGACTAGTTTGTGCCTTCATATTTCCAAAATTAGAAAACAGAAGGAGAGCATTTAAAAATAAACCTGCATCTGTCAAGATGTTTCCTCATGATTGGGATTTTGTTAGCTATATTATCAATAATTTAATCCAAAACAGATTTTCTTTTTCACCAAATATTATTTTCATAGCTTAGAATTCTGGTGCCCAACTCACCTTAAGAGAAAGAAAGACAAAAAGAGAGAAAACACCAGCCTTCTAATTTCACCTGACCTACTGGTCCAAAGTAAGAAATATTGTAAGTATTAATATGACAGCAGTATATTATCTATGAGAATTTACATTATATTGTTTTAGCAGTAAAGTCTCCAATACACTTTTAAACCTGTTCTTTAGCTTGATGCGACTCTGAGGTTGATTGCGAAGCCCTTTGTTTTGTAAGATGTCTCGGTAGTAAAAGAGGTGATAGCAATTCTTGTATGAGGAAAAATGGGAACATATTGCCCTCTAGTGTTGAAAAATATATAACTGGAATGAAAACAAATGAGATTTCATGTAAGAATGCTCTTTCCCCCCTCCCCCTCCCTTTCTGGTAGCAAAAATTCAAAAGGGTTTTTTTGGGTTTTTTTGTTCTTGCTTGCTGTAAGGACCACTTATTGATTTGTTTAGGGACAGTGAATAACCCTAATGAGATTGTAAAGCCCAAGATGTGTGTTTGATATTTGATGTACTCCAAAAGTGAAGTTGCAGTGATTTATCAGTGTCACCAGAGCTTCAAAACTGCAATGAACTCTTGTGGAGAATTTCACATGATCTGCTGTCTCTGTCTAGAGCCTTATCGCTTTGCAGGAAGCATCTGAAACATTAAAGTTAAGCAAGAAATCTATAAACATTGGCTTAATCATGATTATGATCTCAGTAATTAAGCAGCAATTGAACTGTTACTAGCTGTAGTAATATCAGTAGTAGAAATGATAGGAGCAGTAAACTGGTTATATGTATTATTACATTTTAGTAGGCTTTTGTTGTTGGGGGGACTTTCCAGTTATACATTCTAATATTCCAGTTATACATTTTTATATATTGTCTCTGCTTTTGAAGCCTTATCTAGAAAACATATTAATCCTTGAAACTCCACCTGTAGTATGGGAGCAGTAATCAATAGCATTCTAATGCTGATCAAGGTTAAGAGTGTGAAGCGTTTTGCATACTATAAGTATTATATAAATATCCATTTTAACAACATTAATTTCTCGTTTCTATATTTACTCAATTGTCATGTTTGGGGCCTGCCAAATCGATCATATACATGTATACTTAAAAGTAAGACCCACTGACTTCCATGAACTTACAATCCTATGCACGCCTACTCAGAAGTCCTATTAAATACAGCAAGCTTACTCCCAGGTAAGTACAGTTAGGTCTGCAGCCTTGTTTCCAAGTACATGTGTATAAGATTGAAGCTTAACCTATAAAAACATTGCAGTTATAATTGCCACGAGTCAGACCTCTCCAAATGGAGGGTGGGGTGTGCTGGCTTTCCACGGAGAGGACTGAAAGTCATCATTTATGATTGAGAAGAAGCAGCAGCAAGGTGGCCCAACTGGTGTATCACAGCATCTAAGACCAAGCTTCTGACATTTGGTAACAATCTACAAAGCACTGGCTATGAATACACTTCATTGAAGTTAAACAGAAAATTACTATAATCAAAACAAAAAAAAATTCCTTCCAGTAGCACCTTAAAGACCAACTAAGTTAGTTCTTGGTATGAGCTTTCGTGTGCATGCACACTTCTTCAGATACACTGAAACAGAAGTTGCCAGATCCTTCTATATAGTGAGAAGGTGGGGAGGGGTATTACTCAGAAGGGTGGTGGGAATGGGTGATTGGCAGATAGCTGTGATGAGCCTGTTGACGACTCTTAACGACTGCAGTAGGTCTTACAGGAAAAAGCAAGGGGTGAGAAGGTGAAAAATGGCTTTGTCATGTATAATGAGATAAGAATCCAATGTCTTTGTTCAGGCCAGGTCTCTCCATGGTTTTAAGTTTGGTAATGAGTTGCAATTCAGCAGCTTCTCTTTCCAGTCTATTTCTGAAATTCCTTTGTAGTAAAACAGCTACTTTGAGATCTTGTATAGAATGTCCTGGGAGATTGAAGTGTTCTCCTACTGGTTTCTCTGTCTTGTGATTCTTGATGTCAGATTTATGTCCGTTTATTCTTTGGCGTAAGGTTTGGCCTATTTGTCCAATATAGAGAGCTGAAGGACACTTTTTTGTTTTGACTATGGCAGACCAACACGGCTACCTATCTGTAACAGAAAATTACTATGGGTAGTCAGTCGGCAACGCATGAAACTCTTAATCTCTGGGTGCGGGTTCAAGCCCCACGTTGGGCAAAAGTTTCCTGCATTGCAGGTGGTTGGACTAGATTACCCTGGTGGCCCCTTCCAATTCTACAATTCTGTTATTTTATGTACCCAGAGCCAGGGCCGGCTCTACTACAACATTAGGATGGCATTTGCCACATGCTTCCTAAGCTAGCCTACTGTCCTCATGTGCAGTGGCAGAAGCTGCCCTATGGCCAGTCTTAAAATAAGGTTCATCTACAAGGCCAGCTACACGGGAGGGAGGGTGATATCTAGTCCTTTGCCTCAGGTAGCAATTTGTCTTGGGCCAGCCCTGCATAGCACATGCTTGGCAGTTCAGAATATTGAAGAGAACAGGCTCTGCTGTATATGCGGTTTAATTATCTTGAAGCATGTCATTAAAAGGGACCAGAGACTTCTGTGCAAGGAACAAGAATCCCCCCCCCCAGCATTTTATCAGGGCTGATCCACCTACTGATCTTAGAGGTGAGACATGAATTGTGAAGGCCAAGCTATAAACCAGTCTCCATTCTCCCAGTCACCTGGACTCTTAAAAAATTTATATGGGTGCCAAGAAACATAAACATTCCACCCCACCACTCCAAAACAGATACAGGGTTGTTGTCTAGAATCTTAAAATCTTATGCCAGGAGGCTTGCTATGATGTAAATGACCCTTCTGAGAGCAAGACCAAAAAATCCCAAAGATTTCACTTGCTGAATGTTTGGTTAAGATTTACCTTAACCTAAAATACCTCTTTGCCATCATTCTACTGTCCTTGCAATTAACCTTTAAAGTCAAGTTCTCTTAACCTTAATTCTGCTTTTATGTAACACAATTCATTTTGACTCTTAATTACTATAGCATTTTTAATATATATATATATATATATATATATATATATATATATATATATAATAAATATTTTTCCACACCTAAATGACACCATGAAGGCATCCCACTGTCGTCATCTATGGTGGAATCAATAGAACTTTTTTTAAAAGGTGACTAGCTTATTTAATTAACACATTTTAATTGCTGTATGGATTTTTCTTAACCTACTCTAATTTCTCACTTTGTTGCAGATAATGTTAATTGTCTTCTCCATTGATTATTGGCAACTGGCGCTTTCAGAGAAGACGGCTTCCAGTATAGATTTCCAACTCTTTGGACTTCCAGCTCTCAGAGTTTCATAGTTTTGAACACCCCCCTTATAAATGCATTGCAATGGTCACATGAACGTTTGGAGAGTGGTACTGACACCATCACTTGGTCTGTTTATAATGGCACTTTAGAAGGAAGAAGCCAATTGCGTTTTTTTAGTAACTAAATGAACAAACATAAAGTGCTGCAAAAAACATGAATCTTATTGTGAAGCTTCGTAGAAGTTTTCGAACATTGGTCGTTCTCTTAGCCACTTTCTGCTTAGTGAGCATAGTCATTTCTGCTTATTACTTGTACACAGGTCACAAGCAGGAAATAGCCCTCATTGATACCACAGGAGGGGCGGAGTGTGAGGATCTTAAACTCTTGCCATACAGGTCAATGGAGCTTAAAACAGTGAAGCCCATCGATCCATCTAGGACTGACCCGACCGTGCTGCTCTTTGTGGAGAGCCAGTACTCTCAGCTCGGCCAAGACATCATAGCCATTCTGGAGTCAAGTCGGTTTCAGTTTCAGATGGTGATTGCATCAGGAAAAGGGGACCTTCCTCCACTGGCAGACAATGGCAAAGGGAAATACATCCTTGTAATCTATGAAAATATTTTGAAGTACACCTCCATGGATTCATGGAATAGAGAACTCCTGGAAAAATACTGTGTGGAATACAGTGTTAGCATAATTGGTTTTCATAAAGCCAATGAGAACAGCTTGTTGAGCACTAAACTCAAAGGATTTCCATTACATCTCTACAATAATGCCGCTCTGCAAAACTGCTTAGTAAACCCCCAGTCTCCTCTGCTTCACATTACCAAAGCCCCAAGGGTTGAGAAAGGCCCATTACCTGGTGAAGACTGGACCATTTTCCAATATAATCACTCCACTTATCAACCAGTGCTTTTAACAGAATTTCAAGCTTCCAAACCATTCCCAGTATCACTGCCGAAGGCTTCTCTCTATGCCACAGTGATTCAGGACCTGGGACTTCATGATGGGATTCAAAGAGTTCTTTTTGGAAACAATTTGAACTTTTGGCTGCACAAACTCATTTTTATAGATGCCATCTCCTTCCTGTCAGGGAAGAGGCTTACACTGTCCTTGGATAGATACATTCTTGTCGACATCGATGACATCTTTGTTGGGAAGGAAGGGACAAGGATGAATGTTAAAGATGTGAAGGTAAGACAAGAGTGAATGGTGAAATCTCTTCTCAGCAATACATTTCTGACACATAAAGCATCAGAAGGCTAGTAATACCTCTCAACAGTGTTTTGTCCTGCAGTTTGCCAACACCCACCAATCTTTTCACTCAGGGGTGGAGAAGCTGGGACAATCATCCCTGACTTTGCTGGCTGAGGCTGATGGGAACTGGCACCCAACAACATTTGTAGGGCTACAGTTTTGCCATCCCTGCTATAGGTGTTTAAAGGATGGAGGTTAGGCATTTTATTTATTGATTCATTGCCTATTGTAAATCTATCCATTCTCCAATCTTCTCAAAAGAACATATGAGTCCTGCCTCCAATCTGATCTTCACAACTGCCTTGTGAGGTGAGTGAGGAAGAAGGATCTGATTAGCCCAAGGCCATCCAGTGAGCTTCACAGATGAATGGGAAGCCAGGTCCCCTCAGTCCCTGTCTGACACTCTGTCTCCAATACACCACACTGGTTTTTGTTTGTATTTAGGCTTAAAAGGTCTGGATTTATTTGTTTCCAGTTAGAGGACTTGCCTCTAACATTTCTGCTAGGGTAAATTTTGAGGTGGGAAGCTAATAAATCATTCTGTCAGAACTACCTGTCTTCCGCACCTTAGCAATGATCATCAGGCTAGTGGACCAATGCTTTTGCTAGTAAGAACCAAATCAGAAGGGTGGCAAACCCAAAAATAGTGAATAAACAACTTGGTCATCCAAGGGAGCTCATTGAACTCTGGATTTAGTGGGCCTTAATGCACCCATGGGCCACTATGTGAAACAACTAAGTGTCTTTGTACTAATAAAGTTTGCATCCTGCTAAGACACTCTTGTTGACTTGAAGGGAAATGTTCTTGGAAGTTACATCCAGAGGAATCCTCAGGGAAGAAACTGGGCAAGCCTTACATACAATTTTGAGATTAAAAATAAATTAGCAGGACTAGCGATATACCTAATTAAATCCTCCCTGGGAATTGTCTAAATGTATCTAAATATCAAATTAATCATCATTATGGGAGCCAATACTACAACCATTTCTCCATTTCAGTACAGAGAGATTTTCATTTATGGATGATTGTTCACCTTGTAAATGCTGTTTTTCTTTCTGTCTCTCTCTCTCTAAGAGATATACAAATATATATACACATATATAAGCACCCTCTTTGAGCTTCTTTTCCTCACCTGTTGTCCAAAGAAATCAAATCATAAAGATAGGGCATGGCTCATCAAATGTTTACCATTTGATTTCTTTGTTATTCAGGCCAGGACAACAAGTGGCGAAAAGAAACCTGAAACTCCAGCTGTTCCCTAATGAATCAAACAAAGGGCTGTATAAGGTTCCATAATGAGATACTTTGAACCACAGCCTTAAAATGTTGCATCACTTAAATCGAACAATCTGCTTTCTGAATAAATTCTTTGTTGACTTCTGTATATATGGATTTGCAAACCTCTCTCTTTGTTTTTGCAGAGTTTTTTTGCTTTTCCACCCCATGCATAGTGTCTCAAATAACCTCGATGTTAGGAGCTGCAGAAATAAATAAGAGGCATAACCAGATGCCCAGCCAAGTCCAGAGACTGTTCTTTGTTTTCATTGGGGCGTGAATTTAATGGTGCATTCCTCATTCTCAACCCCAGCAGCAGGATCTTGTCCAAGATTTTTCACTTTGAGCTTCTGACAATACCTTTTCCTGATGGGGAAAAAAAAATCAGACAGAATCATATAGAACCTGGGCATCAAAATGACAGTTTTCTCCAGCATAAGCTATCCATTAATCAAGATATGCTGAGGCTCCTGTCTGGTCATATCTGCTTTCTGGGGTTTGGTGATTAATAGGGCCTTTTTGATAGCAGCACCTTAATTACAAAACTCACTTAACATAGTTGCTTGGCACTATCTTTCATGACCCAGGCAAAGTCCATCCCATTCTTTCAAATGGTATTAGTATACCTGAAGGAACGTCTCCACCCCCATCGTTCTGCCCGGACGCTGAGGTCCAGCGCCGAGGGCCTTCTGGCGGTTCCCTCATTGCGAGAAGCAAAGCTACAGGGAACCAGGCAGAGGGCCTTTTCGGTAGTGGCGCCTGCCCTGTGGAATGCCCTCCCATCAGATAAACGATAAACAACGATAAACGATAAACAACGTTTATCGTCAAAACGATAAACAACTACCTGACATTCAGAAGACATCTTAAGGCAGCCCTGTTCAGGGAAGTTTTTAATGTATGATATTTTAGTGGGGTTTTTGGTTTCTATGGAAGCCGCCCAGAGTGGCTGGGGAAACCCAGCCAGATGGGCGGGGTACAAATAATAAATTATTATTATTATTATTATTATATTAGGAGATCTCAAATGCTTTTTAGTAAAAGGTCATTCATTCATTCATTCATTCATTCAGTTACTAGTTGCTGTTTCATGTGTGGGTTTTCCCCTGTGTTATTTTCAGAAGCTGCCTTAATGCCACACCTAGTGAACAATAGAATAAGCATGCATACATACATACATACATACATGTGTGTTTGGGGTTGTTCTATTTTTACAGAACTAGAATATTTGCAGTGGAAATCAAGTCCATCAGATTATGGCGGCTTTCCTGGTTATATGCAATATTGTATCACACTTCTCACTACTGTTACCATAACAGCAGACTTGCAGCCTCAATGTAACTAAATTTACTTGGAAGAAAGTGCCATTTGTTGCAGTCAGATTTCTGTAACTAATTGCACTTAGGATCCAATCTTATAAACTATCACTCCACATTAGAGTTCCAAGAATTGGGGGCAAAGTAGATGTGATGAGGGCAGCCATCCACATGCCTGCCTCATGCACATATTATATTTATTTGCATGTATTTATTATTTTTATAGCCACCTATCAATAGATATTCTTCATGTGGCTTTAAATAAAACAACATAAAAATGCAAGGAAGAATAAGAGAAATCAACAATAAATAATAAAAGACAACAACAACAACAACAACAACAACAACAACAACAACAACAACGAGACAACATAAAACAATTTACAACCAAAACTTAAACAATTAAAACCCTGGATGAATTAAAAGGTGCTGGAATGATCAGAGAGGGAAAAACCAGGTGAACCTCTCTGGGAAGGTGATTCTGTTCCTGGCATGGCTGCTCCTGTGCAGGCTAATATTTGGGGTATTTTTTTATTTTAAAAAAACCAAGTGAGACAATATGAAGCTATATAACTCAGACATTACAGCCAACTATGTGTTCAAAAATGCTTTCTGCCGTAAAAAACAAAAACAAAAAAAACCAAAATTTATTTCTGCAGTGATTCTGGACTATAAAATTTCTGGTCTGTGTAGGTTTCTCCATCACAAGAAATGGGGAGCTCACAGACAGATTTCTCTAGACATTTTGCGAAATCAGGAGATATTTTCATATTACTGAAACTTGTATCAGAATTGCACTTTGAGAAACTATATGCCTTCCAGAAAACCTATTTTTAGGTGAACACTTTGTGTGGCTTAAATGTGTAATTTAAATACATTTTTTCATTAGACAGTTAAATGACCAATTGCATTTGGTGAAGATTATCTGAAAGTTGATCACTTTGTGGTCTCAAAATGTTTATGGTTTAATCAGAATGGATGTGGTATGGACTTTTGACTTGAGCTAAGGTTATGGTTTGCCAGGATATAAATGCCTATGAGATATGACCAGTAGCCTATGTTAGGGTATGACCAGGAAGTGGGGGGTGGGGAATGCATTTGGGGTTCAAATGCAAAAAGTGGTTGTTAAACCCTATCTTCCATACCTATTGTATCCTAATCCCTCTTCCAGGGAGCTCAGCATAGAATAGATGTTTCTATCTATTTTATCCTCATGAAAACTCTATGGGAAAGGCTATGCTGAAATATTATGCTGGGTTAAAAGTGAGCATCATGGCTGAGTTGGAAATTGAACACAAATCCTCCCAACTCCTATTCCAACACCTTAACGGCTCTCTAATAAACACAACGAGAGCTCAAAATAGTATTAACACTACAGATAATCACTGATTTTAGGAACCAAAGTTCTTCCACATGACTGTATGGAAGGCAGAAGCTCTGGAGAAAAGTACTGAAGGAACAGCATTCTAATCTTTTAGAGTTCTTTGAGAGGAACAAAAAGCTAATGGATAGGAGTGGTGAAGTAGGCACTGTATTCTTCACCAAAGACTCCTGAGTAAGCTTAGCATTCATGGGGTAAGAGGATGGATCATATAATGGATCAGTAATGGCTGAAGGAAAGGAAGCAGAGAGAATGAATTAATGGACCGATCTCACAAAGTAGGGGTATAAAAAGTGGGCTCCCCAAATGATTTATATTGGGACTGGTGCTTTTAAACTTGTTTTATAGAGGTGAGCAGGGTGGTGTCCCACTGACAACAACAAATTGTTCAGGGATTGTGAAAAGCTTCGAAAGGATCTCTCTGAACTGGATGAAGGGTATTAAAATGGCAAATGGGGTTCAATGGTAAGAGTTACGCTGTTCAGGTAAAGTTCCTTGGTTTCCTGTTTGCTTCATTCACAAAGTTTGCAGCAGAAAAACATGACAGCTATCAGAATTTTCTCTGCACTCACTGGATGCATGAATGGAGTAGCCAGAGGCACAGCCTTAATCCATTTTGCTACCTGTGATCAATACCTTCCTATTGATAAAAGATGTTTGCTGTCAGAAGGGAGGATACCTGCATAATACAACAGCTTGAGATTAATCAGTAGCCTGCATTTAGCTTTTAGCAGAAGCTTCTGATTTTTAGTGTTTTATTTTATTTGCTTTCAAATAAGATTGGTTTCTCTAGGTATTTGTTAATGAGTCATTTACAGGCCATAGAATTTTAGAGCCCATTAGTATCCAAGCCAAGTTCTTTCCTAATGAACATTATACAGTACTGAAAAAAACAAAATCTCAGTGATTGGTTTACAGTAAAGGAAAACTACTGAGACTTCGAATACTATCTATCAAGATGTGC